CAACAAATCTAACTCAAATAAAATAAAACAAAATGCATAAATAAAAACATTACAATAATCAAACAACTCAAACTCAAACTTTAACTCAAACAACACAACTCAAGCAACTCTCTCTAACAAAAGCTCTCTCAAACTCTCCAAACCTTGTACAAACAACAAACTCAAGCAACCTCTCTAAACAACAAACTCTCAACTCAGCTCAAACACCATGCTCAAACTCAAATAACAAAACAACTCAAACTCAAATTCAACTCAACATACACAAACTCTTTAGTATCCTTCAACAAAACTCCAAAATAGTACAAGCTCCTGAAAAAACAAATGAATGAAATCAATTAAAATTTGAAATTTAAACGCTAATATAAAAAAAGAACAAATGCTACAAACAAAAAACAGAAAAGAAAAATAACACTGAAAGGAAAAAGAGCAGAATAAAATGTTGAAGTACTAAAACAGGAAAGAGCAACTGTAGCAAGAAATAGCTAGTGTCAAATTCAAACCAAATCTAAATTTTCGGGCATCATACCCTATAGGGTTAGGTTGTAAGACCCATCAAAGGCCACTTCTAATTGAAGTCATAAGTCCCATGTGTTAGGGAGACTATTTAAAATGAATTACATTGACTTTAACAATCTTATAAATAACCAGACAACTTTCTAAGGGAAGTCATAAGACCTAACCCAAATCCAACTAAAAAAATCAAATTTAAACTTTTGGGCATCATAGTCTAAGGGATTAAGCTGTAAGACCCGCTTTTCAGGCAAATTCCTAAGGGAAATAATAAGTCCTACCCCAAATCCAAACAAAATCCCTGGGCAGCCTTGCTGTAGATTTAGGTTGTAAGACCCAACTTTGGGCAACTAATAAATAGAGCAGTAAGCCCCGTTCCAAATCAAAATCCTCGGGCTACTTTCTATGAAAGCTGTAAGTCCCAAACCAAATCTAAATACCTGGGCTACTTCCTAAAAAAGTCATAAAACATGTTCCAAACCAAATTTCTGGGTTACTTCTAAATGAAGTCATAAATCTCAAACTAAATAAATCTCTAGGTATTCTAATAGATGTAAACCTCAAAACATCTAATCAAATTAAAATTCAAATCTCACCACTTTAATCTACTTGGAATTCCTGAGAAGAGGCAACCCATGGTTGCTAATCAGATTCTCTGGATACTACGGTCAATGATTGTTAGTGTTGGTAGATTGAAACTACGCTATACCCGGGACCACGGAGATTGCACTCGAGACTTCTTCCGCTCCTTCATTGCTGTCTGACTTCGACTCCTTTGTTGTTCGATGTCGCTTGGCAGGGGGGCAGAGATTACATGGGTCGCTTGTTCGGTTCCTTTGTGGCTGTCCGACTTCACCACTTCAGTCTACTCGAGATCCCTGAGAGGAGGCAACCCATGGCTGCTAATCAGATTCCATGGACACTACGGTCAATGATTATTAGTGTTGGTAGACTGAAATCTACGATATACCCAGGATGACAGAACCATGGGATCTTGATCGGGTTTATCTCCATCTTCCCCATAATTGAGACTAATCACCTAAAAAAATTATTCATCCTTAATCGAGAGTTCTCTTTTACGTAGTAAGAGGGGTAGTTAACTATGAGTGCTTGCTTGCGCTCATCGGAAGTAAGACCCCAAATCTTTAAACCCTGACACTACCTTCAGGGAAAATCTAGTTTATTACAATCTGATTTAAAAGAAATGGAATCCTACGGTTGTAAAGCGGGATTCATGCATTCATACCTTTTTTCTTGAGCCAACATCGCCCTTTCATTATGATTTATAATTCCTAAAATAATCATTTCTATGATATCACTTTTGTCATGACCCGACTTAAATACTTGGAATACCTAGTTTGGAACAACAGTTGGACGATAATTAAATTTCTTTTAACATTAATTAGAACGATTTAATAAAATATCATCTAATAAATTTGGTACGAGCCTCTAATTATTCATAAAAAATCTATATGAATATAATTTACTTCATACTTATTCTTTTTTTTTTTTGGGAAAAATTGATACTTATTCTCATTTGCTCATCTTTCTTCTGTTCACAATTTTATTTGTCAGCCAATTATTCTATAAGAGTTAGATTTGAAACATTCAATTTAATGGGTTGAGTTTTTATCATCAAATTCAGTGGATAGTTATAGTTCTATTATATATCAATAGATAAGAAAATTTTGCATGTGTTATTCTGATTAATAATTGAAATTTTCATTTTAGAAAAATTAAATATAAGCACTCATAAATAAAACACACATAAAATATTCTTTGATATTATATTTATCAAATTATAAATTTTAATGTCCTTTATTTCAGGAACACCATCTAATATTGTACTGATTAAGACATACATTCTTATTTTTATTTCTTTTTATATCCTTTTTTATTTTTTATGCACGGGTACATTGATTCCCTAACTAGTATCATAAGTGGATGAACCGCAGTTACATGCATATATCTTTTTCTTTTATTAAATTCATTTCAATATCGTATTTTATTTTTTCATTTAAATTTGTGGTTGCTTGCTGATGCAATCCCAAATTTTTGCTAACAAAATTAAGTCTTCCTATAAATTAGAAGATACACAAATTACTAAAAAAAGATATAAAATACTAAAAAGACACATTTTTATATCATATAAAGACACTTACAAACTTGGACACAATCACCTTACAATCTTGGACACAACTAACCTAAAGGAGCTTGCCAATCGTTGAGAAGAAAGATACAAGTGAGGTGGCACTTGCATAGAGAAGAAAGGGATTAGAAGCCAAGACGAAGAATAGGAGTAACTCGCAAGTTATCCCAAGATAGAGAAGAAGAAGAAGTGGACAAAGCTCTCAAGCCTTTCCAATAAAACCCTCAGGTTTTCTTACTCCAAAACTCACATTTTCAACCATCCTCTAAACATACAAATCAGCCCCTATTTATATGCAAGAAAGGGAAACCAAACAGCCATAAACCTCTAAAACAAGCCAATTAGATTTTAGGAAATGAAAGGCCAATAGCCACAATAGCAATTCCCAAACGTTATAACAAAACAGAGATGTAAACTCACGGAACCAAACAGGGAACCGCAAAACCGAGCAGCCCAGCACGGAACCAAGCAGGGAACCGCAAAACTGAACAGCCCAGCACGGAACCAAGCAGGGAACCGCAAAACCGAACAGCCAACCACGGGAACCAAGAAGCCTGCCGTAGGAACCAAGCATTCAGCCGCAGAAACCAAAGGGGCAAGGCGCAGGAAACAATCCAGCCATCCACGGGAACCAGAGGGTCAAGCACGGGAAAACCAGCAGCCATCCACGGGAACCAAAGGGTCAAAATCCACCATAATGAGCTTCCACTAAACTTACGTAAATGAGCTAAACTTCCGCTCATTATAAGCTAATCAAGAGCTCAAAATTAATGAGTTAGGAAGTGCAATAAATCCCCCAATCATTGAGCTAAACTTTAGCTCAAACATTTATGAGCTAGAACTAATTAAAATTCCAGCATATTGAGCTCAATACCAAACAACCAAGGCTTACCGGAGAACACCAGAAGCCCAAGGGTCAAAACAAATTCTCATCTTGTTTTGCCCCCCGCCTACATCACTTGCTTTCATATTTAATGTGCATTGCACTCTAATTAAGGCCATTTAATTCTTCCTTTTATTTTATGAATACTAGCAAGTTACAACTATGATAGATCATGTTACTAAATGCATTGATTTATAAAGAGAACTATAATTGCTATAAATAAAAGAGTAGAATGAACTCATTATATTCTTCTTTGATTTTTACTCCAACAAAAAGGTCAAACAACTCTTTTTTTCTGTTTACGTTGAATTGATCGTCCTCTTAGTTTCCATCGAAATGATTGCACGAACTTTGTCCCAACCTTTGATGTCAATAAACAGGTTGGATGATCTCTTCTTTGCTTTCCAACTCCATCGAACATGTTGCGTGACATTTCTTCTTCTTTGATTTTTGTCTCCAGCAAATTGTGATAGTTTTCAACCAGCTGAACGAGCTTTTCTTCTTCCTTAGTCTCCTTTGACTACTTGCACATAACTCTTTTGTCTCTCTCCGTCTATGTATTGTCGAAACAAGGGTTTTTGTCATCCCTTATCCGCATGAGGATTCACACCCTTCCATTCATGACCGCAAACTCATGTTCGCCACTCGATTGCTCATTTGGTTTGAATCAATTTGATCCTATTGTCAGCTTAATCATTTCTTTGGATATTGGCTGATGGAATGAAGCTTTCTATTTGAGCATTTTGAACTTTTTATTGTCAATCTTTCTTATTAATATAAACTCAAACTAATGAAATTGGCCTTAATGAGTCCAAAATTCCTACATTAAAAACTTCTGTTCACAAATTCCATAAAAAATGACAAAGTTGACAGTAGGAATAAATTTGGTCAGATTTAGTGAAGCGAGGGATTAAATTGGACAGTAAAAAAAGTTACGACCAAAATAGACATTTTAAAAAAGGTTAAGGATCATTTTGGTCGTTTAACCTTTTTTTTTGGTCGTTTAACCTTGATAACTCTGATTTCCATATGATATACATCTTTTTGTGAAGCTTGTGAGCTTGATCATTGTTGATTACGAGGTTGAAGTTATCAAACACGGTATGGATTTGGTCAATGTTAATTGTTATAAGTTAATTATAGCAACGAACCTTTCACCTTTTTTTTTATGCATAGAAATAGAAACCTTCAAATTGCAGAACTAGAGTTCAACAAAGATCATACAGAGAGTCTGAACTAGTTGAGTAAATAGTTTCTAGAAAGCTAAATGTGTCCATTTGTAATGGGCCTCTTGCAATACTTGTGCAAACAGGAACAATTCTTTATTTTCTTTGACTCAGGATAGGTTGTTGGTTGAGCATGCTCTTAATGAACATATGTTAACTTTTGAACTAGGTTTTCTTTATTTCGTTTGCTTTGCTTACTGGTGTTACTAATTCCTGATGACCATTCTTGTAGATTTCGTTCGAGGATAAGAAAAAAGAACTGTTTGAAATGGTATTGCAGTTGAAAGTTGGTTAGAATTAGCTTTTTATTAATTCTTTTTGACACTCCGTTGAGAAACTCCTTTTCTGGATTTCCTTACAGGTGAGCATCCCTACTTGGTTTACCATGGATACCCGGCTTGGTAGCCTGTCAATCCACTTGGACACTCCTCAATGTTTTTCAGCAGAGATGTATGCTGCTGACTTGAATATTTCAGGAGCACCTGAAGATCTTAAGGTAATTGTATTTTTTGTTTTGGCTTTTGGCATATTTTGCTTAAAGAATCAATATCTACCATGCAGAAGGCTCACACAAATTGGGAGGGTTGAATTGGGTGTGCATCAAGACATTACAGACTTATTCGAGCCTTCACGATTAAATACTATACAGAAGCTAATAATATGACAATGAATAATAAAATACATATGCAAGCAAGTGTAAAGTAATTTCTAAAGATAAAGCGTGATGTGAAAGTCTGATAGCTCCTGAGCTTAAAATAAATAGATTAACACAGGGCAAGAGCCAAGTCTTATAATCTTGTCAAACACCAAAGCCACATAAGTCCAATAATAAATCTTGAAAATTTGGATGAGAAGAAAGGAGAGTAGAAAATGGGAGATTATATATTTGAATTTTATTATCAATTCATGTGTAAAAATTGGAGAAGCCGTTCGTAAACATATAGAGAAACAACTAGAGAAAAAAATGGAAATCAAATTTTAATTGTGGAATCTAAATTTAATTGCATAACAGAAATTGAATGTTGTTGCCTATGGATTTCTTTATTGCTGCTGATGAAAAATTGATATCCAAGGATTGCTGTATTCTTATGGATGAAAAGTCGTTATCTATGAATTGTTGGGTTTCTAATTTCTATATATGGTAATGTGCTAGCAATGGATTCAAGATTGTTTTTATCACCTCCCTTAACCTTGGTTGTATATGTTGATCATGCCCAACCTGTCTATTCGTTTATCTAAACTCATTCATTGTATATCCTTGGTGTGGATATCTGTAGTTTGAGGGTTTATTAAAACATAATTTAGTTTGGTTGGCGCATTTTTAATTTTTCGGAGTTAAATATCAGCCTATATTAATCTGTTTAGTCTTGTCATGATGAACATATATATATTTTTTGCATACTTATGGTAGCTTGGTTGTGGCAGTGCACTTTTAAAGATTTTTCGACCTGATAGTTTATTTCATTCAAGAATCTTTTAAACTTGATTCTGATTGGAAATACTTGAGTTTGCAAGTAATCCTATCGGATTTAGTTGAGTTCGCAAGCAAACCTAATCAATAATTAGCAAAAACAGCGAGAAAACGAAGGAATCGTGGTGGAAGAACAAACAAACGATAGCAAAGCTTATAACAGTCAAAGAGAAACAAGAACAAAGCAAAGATACAAGAGATCCCCAATTCGAGAGGAGGATCGTCTCTTCCAAGTCTCTAGACAAGATTGTCTAGAGCCTAAGCCTCCAAGAAACCCTAATTTCAATCAATCAAAACATATCTTTTCCTAATCCCTCTCATCCTCTTTCATACAACACTTTCCTAATCAATTTTCCCTCCCAAAGCCCTAGTCGCCCCCTCTATTGAATTTTGAAATTAAAGTGATGGGTGGGACCCATCTAATTAGGCGGGCAAGGTAGAGGAGGCGGAACATGTCCGCCTCCTATAAAATTGAGCCGGCCTTTGGGTCGGCTCAGCCGGCTCCACGTGAACCGGTGGCGTAACATTACCGCCCTCCCAAAGAATCACCTTGTCCTCAAGGTAAAAATCCGAAAACTGCTGTTTCACCCTCTAGTATGGCTCCCACGTGGCCTCGTAGTCCGGAAGATTCTTCCACTAGATCAACACTTCCTTAGTTCCATCTTCTTTTTGACGAACCCTCATCAACTCTAAGGATTCCAGAACCACCTCTAAATCCTCAGTAAGTGTCGCCGGTAGCTCGGGGTTGGCGGTGTAGTCACCAATAGCTTTCCTCAACTGTGAGATGTGAAAAATCGGGTGTATAGTCGCCGTTGGTGGTAATTTTAGTTGATATGATATTGCCCCAATCTTCTCCAGCACTTCATAAGGCTCAACGTACCAAATAGGAGGCAATTAAGATCAAATTTTGATTAAATTGGGAGGGAAATACTTTTGAAATTCTTTTTCAAATAGGAGGCAATTAATACATTGATGGGGGAATTAATGGGATGGGCTAGGGGGGCATAGAGAGAGACGGGAGAGGGATTTAGACTAAAAACTGAAATTAATTTCAGTATAAGTGGAATTGGAGGGAAAATTATTTGAAACCAATTTCGGATTTCAAACAAGGGGAGGGAATTGAATGAGCATTCAATGGGGGAAGCCCATTAAGGGGACCGGCTGCATCATGAAGGAGGGAGAGAATTGGGGAATGATGAAAGAAGAAAATTAAATCTAATTTGATTTATTTTAAATTTGGATTCAATATAGAAACTTTCCTAATTTGGATTTTCCTTAATGGAAAGAATTTCCTTAGTTCCATCTTCTTTTTGACAAACCCTCATCAACTCTTAAGGATTCCAGAACCACCTCTAAATCCTCAGTAAGTGTCGCCAGTAGCTCGGGGTTGGCGGTGTAGTCACCAATAGCTTTCCTCAACTGTGAGATGTGAAAAATCGGGTGTATTGTCGCCGTTGGTGGTAATTTTAGTTAATATGCTACTGCCCCAATCTTCTCCAACACTTCATAAGGCTCAACGTACCAAATAGGAGGCAATTAAGATTAGATTTTGATTAAATTGGGAGGGAAATACTTTTGAAATTCGATTTCAAATAGGAGGCAATTAATACATTGATGGGGGAATTAATGGGATGGGCTAGGGGGGCATAGAGAGAGACGGGAGAGGGATTTAGACTAAAAACTGAAATTAATTTCAGTATAAGTGGAATTGGAGGGAAAATTATTTGAAACCAATTTTGGATTTCAAACAAGGGGAGGGAATTGAATGAGCATTCAATGGGGGAAGCCCATTAAAGGGACCGGCGGCATCATGAAGGAGGGAGAGAATTGGGGAATGATGAAAGAAGAAAATTAAATCTAATTTGATTTATTTTAAATTTGGATTCAATATAGAAACTTTCCTAATTTGGATTTTCCTTAATGGAAAGAATTTGAAATTCGAAATTTGAATTTCAAATTTGAAGGCTAGGGAAATAACGGCCGGCGGGTGGGAAGGTGGCCGGCGGCTTGGGCATCCCAAGGAGGCCGGCGACAAGGAGGGAGGGGCTCGGGTTCTCTAATGGAATTGGTGGGGTGAGGATTTCTTGAAGGGGAGAAGAAAGAAATAGGTGTAGGCGGAATGGAAAATGTAAAGCCACTAACCTTAACACCACCTCCACTAGAACTCAGAAAGAGATCCACGATACTCTCTCCTCAAGATCTCACAAAGAGATCTAGGTAAATTTTAGAACTCACAAAGAGATCAATAACAAAAATTTTCATTCATCAATAATCGTCAATACAATAGAGGGGGCCATCATATATAGGCCTAAGGAAAAACAAAATACAATGACGCAAATGCCCCTGGGACTACAACTCAAGACAACTAAAAGATAGGGTTCAATCGGGGATAATAAATAATACAACATCAAAATAAAACTAAGCATCAAAATAAAGGCTATGGATCGTGGCCATCGATCGGCACCTCTTGCGCTGATATACTCGTCGAAAATGTTTGTCGTTGTCCTCATCACTCTTGCTAGACAAATATTAGCTTTTAGTATTGGTAAAAGACATGTTGGCTTGGAGGAGAGATTTTATATTGAGGGTCACGTCAACTGCAAACGGAGTAGAACCTTAATGGTTCTGATTCCAGGCTTGAAAATTAAAATGAGAGGAGTCGGAGTAGAAAATGGGAAATTATATGATTGAATTGTATTCCCTTATTTTTTGTGTAAAAAATAGGATGCAAATTTATATATTAATAGGTAGAGAAACAACTATCAAGAAATGAAATAAATTTGGAGATTGATCTTTAATTCTTGAATCTAGAAATAAGTACACAACACATACTTGTTCATTGCTATGGTGAGTACGGTGAAAATTAGAATGTTAAGATAAATTTACTGTGAAATTAGAAAAAGAAATTAAAGAATATTAATATTATGAGGAACAACTGGAATGATATCTATACCATTATTAAAGATACGATAGTTGAAAATAAAATTTAATAATTTTTATATGTATAATGAATGCTACTACATATATCCATTATCCAAGTATATAAAATTAATGTTGAACTATTAGGAACTAAGATAATTTAGATATAAGTTTTTCAAAATGATTTAATAAAAATATGTGTAACAACTCAGGTAGCGCTCCACTTGAGTAGATGGAAATTGAGGATTTATGGAGTTGGCTCCAAGCACTTATTGTATAGCACAAGTATCTTTTGAGATGAAGCACTCAGTTTTAGTTGGAGTGGTCACATTTCTTAAAGATAATGTAGTTGAAAATAGACTTTAGTGTTTTGTTCTTATTAAATGATAAATAGAATAGGTGTGTTACTTTAGGAAATTCTGCATGTAAATGAATGAAAAGTGTGAATTCATAAAGTTGATCTCAAATAGTTTGGATAAGTCTAATGATGGCGATGTTGAAAACAGAAGTAGCTTTTAAGATAAAGCAACAAGCTTTAGGACAGCTTCTATTTTAAAATCAAGTCAAATGAAGGATGAATTACACTTTATTTCTTAATTTTCAACAATACATCCATTTGATTATAAAGCGGGCCCACTTTTTGGAAAGAAGATCCATTTTGTTAATTTTTATGTTTATTAAATCTTGCAAGTAAATGAATGGACTGATTTGTTAATGGAAGAAATTTCTTTAAAAATTGTTATAAGAAGTTCTTTATTTTTTTTGAATGTTGAATTAAAATTTTTTATGGTTGTATATGTTCTCCCTTGTTGCCTTTAGAAACCTCCACCATCACTAAACACCGTTGTCTCGCCCTCGCTCATTTTTCTCCGTCCAATTTTCAACCCTTCAACATTGATAGTGGACTTGAATGCACCACATTTGGGACGCAATCGTATCGTTTATTAAGATCATTTTTTACTTTGTTTACTTTCTAATAGTTCAATTAATGAAAATAGCCAGAACACATTTTCTATTTTTTAAATTGTATATATTCGTCTGAAGTCTGGGGATTAAAAAGCAAGTTTGCCTGACTCATATTGAAATCCGCTTCTGAACAACCTTAACTTTAGCTCTACAAACTATTATTTGTTTCATGATATTTTTAAATGAAGTTTCTAACCTTTGAAGGTCTTCATGATGCTTGAACTATCTTCTTGTTTATTTATTTTTTTTTTAAAAGATTGAACATAAAGCTATTGCCACATTGGTTGACATTGATTCTTTTTTAATTGAGAAAACCAGGAACATAAAGAATCCTCACTAATTTTTTTTACCTTTATCGTGTTAATTAGTTTTTTCATTAGTTCTTATTTTGGATATTTACTAGAAGTTGATATACTAACCATTTTATTTTCCTCTAGTTGTCTAGTGGTATATGACCCATCTAAAAAGGAGGTTGTGGTGATTTTTTTAATCAAATTTTATTACGAAGTGGGGAAGAATTTGATATGGGGAAAATACTATAGTGATAAAGGAATATTGATTGATAAAATTAGATGATTGAATACCTCAAGGAAGGGAGACATGAGTCAGGGGGTGAGAGGAAGAAAGTATGAAGAAACTGTAAATGTGAGAGTCAATCTTTAGAGGGATAGAAGGCTTTCTTTATTCCACGTTCAACTATCAATTATAAGAATTGGGCACCTCATATAAATAGGTCTTATTAAAATAATAAAATATCCCTTAATGAATATAAAAATGTCACGCTAGAGCTAACTTACAAATGAAATTTTATCCATTGATCATTAACTTAATTAAAAATAAGAATAACCACTTGATTCATTAAATAATATTGAAAATATAAACTAATGACTAAGGGGTAAAGTAGCATTGCATTTCATCAATTTCCTTGCGTTGCAAGGAACTCTACTTCGAAGAGTTGAAGTATTAATATGAGAAGAATTGAAGGTCTTCAATTGCATTATATAGACATGAAATCCATCACACAAAAGAGAGACTTGGAGATAAAGCTATTGTCGTGGTGATTCAACTGCAGACTTTTGTTGATTGGAGGTGAGCAGATGATGAAATACACAATAGGTTGCAACTTGCAGAGGGAGACAGCTAGAGTTAAGGTGGGAAAAAGAATGAGGACGAGTAATTCAAGAGATTGGTTGGAGATAGATGTTGTGCGAAGGATTAACATTAGGATGATAAATGAATAAGAGTTATTTGGAACTGTTCAATCGAGGAACCAATGAACCAAATCAGTTATGTAAAATTGTCCAGTTCAATGATGGCCTATTAAGCATCGTCGATCAATGATCCTTGGGCTGAAAATTTTATCATAAAAATAAATATATAAAATTTATTTATTTATAATAATTGATAAGCTAATATGAAAACCCTACAACCTTATTCCCCCAAATCATCGAAAACAAAACCAGTTGCCCTCCCTTGTGTACAACTTTGTTTGCTGTTGTCCTTCCCCCTCATAGGAGATCCTCACCCTTTCTTGTTGTTGGACATCCAATGACGCGTCCTTGACTACAAAAATTCGCCTTTTTAAAGAATTATTGATTTATAATTATTGCAAATATTATTTTGTGTTTGAGTTTTGTTTTTAGCTACATATTTTTATTATTGCAATATTATTACATCTTTTAGATCATATTTAAATTATTTTAATATTTTTTACATCATTTTGTTTAGTCTCGATCAAATCATTGAATCTTGAACCTCTTCTTTCGGTTTTATATTTGGGCAGGTTTTCACAATCCCGATTATGTGTGTAGTGAGAGAGAGAGGACATGAGTATGAAAGAAAAAAAGGATGGTATGGGAGGTAGCGTATGTATGAGGGGTTGTGGTCATGGATGGCCATGGATATTTCTTTGTTTTGGATTTATGAACCAACCTATGATACCAAATTAATGATGAACGGGGCAATGGGTCCAAAGGTCGTGGTTTGGACTTTTTATTTTGATTATTGAGTGGGGGAATAATTGGGTATAGGCGAAGAACTTGGGAGATAGAAAAAAGAAAGATGATTTAGAAAATCAAATAAATGAATGGCTTGAAGAAAGGAAGTCAACAGTTAAAAGTGTGAAAAAAACTCCTAGAATAGATAATGAATATTTAGAGTGTGTGGCAAATGAGAAGACATTGTTTATTCATCGTCAACTATTAATTACAAGACTTTGGGTATTATTTGTAAAAGTAGGCCCTATTGAAATGATAAATAGTCATTTAAACTAGTCATAACTAAGAAATATGAATATTCCATACTAGTGTCAACTCAAAAATGAATTTAAACTACTAATAGTTATTTTAATTACAGATAAAGATGACCACATGATACATTAAATAATATTAAAAATATAATGATGTGAAACTACTAGGAGTTACGATTAGAAATTAGAAAGAAAGTTGGTTAAAGTATTGCTCATTTAAATTTAATGCTAGCACATAAAAGTGAGTTAAGAATTTTGAAATTTTTAACTTGCTTAGGCCAAAGACGTGCAATAGAACATAACCGAGACAATTCTTTCAAAGTTCAAGGTAATTTAAATGCAAAGTACAATTAACAAAAATCCAACGCTTAACAATGAGAGGTTCACCTCAAGGGCCGTCTCACTCAATTATTTGTAGGCTTTTAGCGGAGAAAGATGACCCATATGATGAAGGATATTACCACTAGAGAGAAGGTGCCGAAGAACTTCGTTGGTGGAGAGGTAGCCGGTGGAGATGGAGGTAGTGGGTGACCGACGATGCTCCAATCATAGTTTGAAAGTTGGCGGTCGATGACGCTTGCAAGAGTAGGGACAACTCGCTCCAAATAATCTCCAACGGTGGCGTCGTCTTCAAATCTGAAACTAATTTCAGATTTTTAGTAAATTTGGAGAGAAGCAATTTGAAAATAATTTCAAATCTCAAAAAGAATTTAGGGGGGTTAATGGACATTTAATGGAGTCCATGAAGAGGGGGGCCGGCGGTTTCAGTAGAGGAGGGAGAAGGGTTTTAATTCCAAACCTGAAATTAATTTCAAGATTTTGAATAAAAATGGGGGGAGATTAATTTAAAATTTGATTTCAAATTAAGGGGACATTAATGAATTAATTGGGGAATAAAAGGAGCAATCAAATGGGGAGAAACCCTCATGGGGGCCGGCGGTATAGTGAGAGGAAGAGGGAGGGATTAAGGGGGAAGAACCACACTCTTTCCAATTGGGAACGAAAAATTGGAGGGAAATTAATGACTCCTCCAATTAGGTTTCATTCGAATTTTGAATTTGAAAACTTTCCATATTTGGCTTTGCCAAATTTGGAAATTTTGAATTCAAGAAATTTTGAATTTCAAAATTCGAACAAGAGGAGGAGAGTGGGAGAAGGCCGACGGTGGAAGTGCTTGGGACAGGTGGAAGAGGTGGGGTGGTCGGCGGCCTAGGGTGGCTTAGGGCCGGCAGGTTGGGGAAGAAGACGGGGTTTGGGATGATTGGGATAGACCACGAGTCACGGACTCTTCCAATGACTGGCGGGTATTGCTTTTTTCCCTCACCTCAGGCTCTCGTTCTTCTCTCTAGCTCACCACAAGAAGAAGAAGAAAAAGATAACAAAACAAGTTTCATTCAAGATATTCATTAATCCCAATACAACATATGAGACCACTATACATAGGTCTCAACTCATGAAAAAGAAAAGTACAACATTGCCCTCTGGGCTACAATAACAAAGTAACTCCCCATAGGGGTAAAAATGGCAAAAACAGTAAATACTAAATAATGCATCATGACATCTGAATCAAAAGTAGAGGCGCTGAATCGTGGCCGTCGATCTGCGATTCCGCCGTCGATAAACCTGTCGGTAGCGTCTGTCGATGTCCTCATCATATAAACTCATGACTTGAGAGTGAGGTAAACTTCCTCTGAATTAGTTTGTGATCATTCCATGTAAAGTTTTTTCTTTAATTGAATTTGAATGTGTATCATTTTTAATGGGCACATAAAGTTTATTACTTAAGTAGCATTTAGATACAAAAAATAGACCTAGTTTTGGAGCAGAAACAGAGCAATATCTATTTATGAAGCGTTGGAATTACTTGATCATATGCCTCACTTTACTTTGTGCTTTCTCATTTTTCATTAATGTTTTACTCTTTTTCTGTGTCCTATAACAGGTAATTTAACTTGCTTTAATTAGTGCTGCTTGAGTTACTTTTTCTATAATTGCATTTCTTATGCTCAATTTATTTTTTTCAAGAATTGTAACTTAGCTCTTCATGCGATGATATACATTGGGTGTTCTATCTTCTCGAACTTGCAGATTAATCTAGCTCAAGAGACTCTTCGAGGTTTGTTAGCACACTGGATCTCTAAAAGAAGGCAACGGTCTGGGTCACAAACCTTTAACTGTGATGGGATACCAGGGAGGGACCTGCCTAGCAGAAGCATCTCGCATTCAAGGGTTGATGCTGATGATAGTACAGAAAATCACCATCTTGTGCTCCCTGCATTTGAATTTTCTACTGTTTCTCCTCCTTCCATTATAACTGAGGACTCACAAGGATGCTCTTGGAGGAAGAAAATTACAGAGCTCGATGGATCACAAGATGAGAAGGATATTCCCTGGTGGTGCTTAGACTGTGTGTTGAATGGACGTATAACGCCGAAAGAATCTACGAAGTATGTTCCTCTTTTTTCGTTAATAACATTAAACCTATAGCTTACTCATTTTCCCTTACAAATGGCTTGCTTTCTTGCACCGTTGAAGTCTCAGAAGCTTGCATGAAGTCAATCTGTTTAGCATTTTCTAGCTCCATTTCTCTTTTAAAGTTATTGGGTGTCATAGGCCTAGTCTTTCTGTGAGCCTGAACTTAGCGAACTTCCTGGCTATTGTGAATCTGGTTAGTGGTTTTTTGAAAACGTGGAAGTTTTGACTTTATGCATTCTTGTGTTTTGTAGAATTTCTTGAATTTGGACCAATATGCCCGATTCAAGGTTAATGTGCTATGCTCTGTCTTCTATACTTGTGAATATATTTGAATGACTAATTTTGAATATTCATGGTTGTCCTTAACAGTAAAAGCCAGTGGTTTTACATTTTCTTTGATTGAGTTACACCTTTTTTGCATCAATGTGAAAAAGTTTATTCATCATATAGTGGGTGTTTTACACGTTGCAAATTTGCTCCATCTCTTGGGTTCCTTGTCGTTTTTTCTTAAATATTTTTTGCTTTAGCAGCACTGGGACTGTAGTTTGCTACCACTGAAAATGCATACAAAATTTACAAAATTTTTGCATAAATGACTAGAATGATTAGGTGCATCCATTTTGGTTTCACACTTCTCTGGATGTCTAATTTACTCCCTCAACTTACTAAATATTAGCCAATTTGGCTCTACTGTGAACTTTATTGTTTGTTTGGACCAAAGTTGGTGGAGGGAAGCTTTTTAAGAGGTTATTTTGAACTTTTTGGGATCAATGCTATTAATTTGAGCTGATATTAAGTTGTGAGATGACCCTAAAAAGTCCAAAATGCCTTTATGAAATATTTATCTGCATTAGTTTCTGTTTTGAGAAATGACAAAGTTGACTGTATGGCTAAATTAGTTCAGATTTAATGAATTGGCAGATTAAATTGAACCTCTGGAAATGTCTGGGACTAAGATAGACCTAAAAAGTCTGGGTGTCATTTTGTACAATTACAAATTTATACTTTGAACGTGAGGTACAGAAATGTCCTCATATGTTCCTTGCTACCCTTCTCCCTTTTTCACCCCTATCAGCTCACTTTAGTAGTGTGGCATGATTATAATTTTTCTCATCACGTAATGGTCTCGTTTTTGTTTTTATTTTTGCTTCTGTCGTTAAACCATAAAGCATGGTTTGTAATGTTGCTGTCCTGTACTGTTATCATTCAACATAAGCCCTTGTTTTGTAGACATACAGAAGAAACTTGTAGAAATCGATTTTGCAGGAAAAAAATGCTGAACTTTTCAATCAAGTGATTGCTTAGGGATTTCCCGTTCAAGTCATCAATGCTGAGCTTATTAATTGTTTAGCGACATAGGAATCCATTAGGAACGATGAATCAGTTCAACTGCAGTTATGCATGATTGTGTAGATTTGTGCTTATACAGATGTGGTGGATGGAGTCATTAATCTTGTTTTTTGAACAATCACTGCGTGATAAATGATAATATATTTTTAAGGAATTGATTCATCATAATATTGAAGATTTGGCATGCCATGTCCATATTTTCTTGGGTTCTTTATTCCTCAAACTTAATTAACATATTTCACTGATGAAATGAACTCATATGAGAAACCTATAGAATTCTATGATCTGGTCTCCATATCACACCTTATAAACCTTCTACAAAAATTGTAGTCGATCGAGATTCTTCTGAAGTGTTCTCCTTAGTTGAATTACCACTTCAAAATAATGTTTATATGTATTTTTTCTTTCATAAATGTTGCTTTTATATTACAATGATATAATTACTTGGTTCTGAACTTGAAACTTGACAATAATGTTTATTTATAGAACTCCTTACAGATGCAGAATTGATGCTTATTGGTTCACAAACTACCTTGATTATATACTAATGACTTTTTCCTGTCTTCTTAGGTGTAGCTTTTACTTGCATCCTTGTGAAGGCTCAAACGTGCAAGTCCTCACACAAGGAAAATTGAGTGCTCCAAGGATATTGCGTGTACACAAAGTAAGCTTAGAGTTGGTGTACTTGGAAAGTGTCTACATTGTCTCTTTTGATTGAAATTGTGTTATCAAAGTTAATAAACACTATATACTTATTATTCATTGGAGTGACAGAAGCTTTGTTTTTGTAGTGATGATGTTTTGCATTAATTGTAAATTTGAGACTATTGTTTCAGTCTTATTTTAAATTCTCTTTTCAAGAGAGAAAATTTTACTACTAATCCATGAAAATGTCACGTAAAGATGTAGTTGCAAAAAACTGTTCAAAAAAATTTAAAGAAATAAAATACATTGGATGAATATATCATGTAAGCTAACAGTGTAACATTAGCCAAGTGGTGAGTACTAAGCCCATAGTCAATCACTTGCTAAGTCAAGAGTGCTTAATTCATCTTGAGAGCTATTGCACTAGCTTGAAAGCCAATAAACTTGGGAGAATGAAGAATTTTTTTTTCCAATTATGCCTCTTCTAGAAAACAAGTTAAAATCTTTTATCTATAAACTTATGATAGAATATTGAGACTGAATAGAGTTTGAATAATCAATAACCTTGACATCAGAACAATCATATCATGGGTTGCATTTGGGAATAAAGTTGAACGTCACAGGGAGAAAGATGAGTAAGAATAATTGAGGTACTTTCAATAGGTTGACATATATATTTTTCATATATGGCTCTTGAAGTAGGGTATGTTAGACAATCATATCCGATGATAATAGATTAGGGAGAGTAGGGAGATACTAACATCCAACAACTCCGAAAGGTTAAACTTAAAAGATGAGGTTAGAGTATGCTTTAGAGCATGAGAACATTCTTGGGAGGGAAAGATTGAGGGAGAAACTTCCACTAATTTTGTAGGTCTAATTTGATTATTAGTATTTGCAATACATAAATCTTGCTCTTCCATAATATGATTAATGGAACAATTCTGAATAATAGGATATCTGAAATATGGTTTTTGTAATTCTGGAAGAGCCTTTAATCAATTTTCATATTCATGATAAAATATTTTGCATGACTGGTAGTATGAGGACAAGTTCTTCCATTTCATTTTTTGCTAATAGCCACATATTAAAGCGCCAATCCACATCTCCCTAGTCGAATGAGCAGAAACCTATATTTGAACAAGAAGATGGGCCGCACATGATAAGGTGAGTTTGATTGTAGCAGTATCCACTTGTATTGGTTTGCTAAGTATTGATCTTGATAACTATAGTGTAGATTGATTAATGAAGTAGAACAAAGATAAGGGAAAACAACATTGGAGTAAGAGGAGGCTTCTTAGAGGTATCATAGCATGGAAGCCACTTTAGCATACATGTTGAGAGACCTATTCATATAATATGAGTTTTATATGTATGATGAGGGAGAAATGTCTTGAATCATATATTTTCAAAGATAGTTTGATAAACACTTGACAACTACCAATAATTTCAATATCTAAAACATCAATCATATGTATATTAAATGTGAGTGTATGAATAATATTTAAACTTAAGTGACCAAAGACAAATTTACCAACCAAAGTTTAGGAGAATGTTGTTGCCAAATCAAAAATCTGTCCAAAAAAAAGAAAATAGATAATTGTTTTACTGTTTAAGTTAATGGGTAACTTGTATAGTAGAATTCAAATCATGGTGAAAGAATAAAGTATTGAAGATGGATATAGTTGTAAATAATCTATCCCCCTTATATCATTAACGAAAAAAAGTAGTTGTAGTACGCTCTATAGTATTAGCAACTGCAAAATGATTAAGTCGAATTGAAGGAACTAATGGATCATTTACATCCATGAGAACAAAATATGATAAGGGGTGGTCCATGGAAGTACGAACATAAGCTAATAATAGGATTAGGTTAAACTGAAGTAGGGGAAGAACATGAAACACAAGACTCCTTGACAATACGAACAATAAAAGGTGATAGTGGAGTAGTTATAACGGCTCTTGGAAATAGGAAATCAAGAGATTAATGGTGGAGAGGCATCGATAAAGATGAAGCAGGACACAGATCCTTACAAAGGGTATGAAGAGCTATATGAAATCTCGGGGAGCAAAATTGAATATAGATTTTACATGAGAAGACTAAGTAGGTGGAGATGGGCCACTATCGAAGACATGGGGATGGAGTTGGCATCAAGTCTCAAATGCATATTGAGTAAATGGACTAAAAGCATGTCGAAGTCAACATGTGGATTACTTAGGTGCAACTACGAGGAGAGAGAAGCAACAATGAATAATAAGGAGGAAGTCGTGAGTGGTAGTGAAGGGAGCGATTGCGGGTAAGATTGCAAGGGATACAAACCCTATGCGGTGGCTAGTGATAGCAAGGATGACGAGCCTAGGGATCAAGTAGCAGTGGTGTGATGACAATATTGGCATGAAGGCGAGATTGTTGATGCGGTCGCATGAAACAAGTGAAGGCTGCAGGTGTTTTTTTAGTACGAGTCTCGTGGGTTATGTTTAATTCCTTCTTTTAAAAACAGTGAATTATTATAACCATTCATTAATAAAGTAACATGCACGAGCAATTACATAGGTTTGCTTTCATTAAAAAAAATATTGTATTATGATGACATATAGCGTAGCAATTAATTTCTATTTGAAAGGAGAAACAATTTGACATTTAGACACCTATAAAGTCTAAAATGCCAAAATCATATGAGGAGTTATGACTGGCTTGAAATCTAATAAATCTTGGAGAATGATGTAAGTTTTTTTTGTCTGATTACTACCTCGACAAGAAAACACCAGCTAAAATATTTTATCCACTAAATCAAATATACTTTTAATAGAATTTTAAGATTGGACTAAAGCTTGAATCATCAACTGCCTTCACTTCAAAATGTTAACCTCTGTATAATACAAAAAAATAATAAATTAAAATATACGCATACCTCTGTCGCTAAAACGACTGCCCATCCCGACATCCTGCCGAAGATCCCGTTGCTACAGTCCCATCCCTCTGCGATTCGGCGCTGTTTCGGACAAAGCATGCATAGATATTTCCCACGTTCTCTTTTTCGTCGTTAAAAAGGAGCAAAACGAAGGGCTCCAAGCTTCTCTTCCTCCCTCCCGATCGCAAGCCTTTTGAAACACTGCCTCAAGCCGAGACTTCCATGACAGAAGCAGCAACCCGAGCTCTTCTGTCTGATCCCCCTTGCCTGCTCCGACCAAATCCACTATATCCGCCTCCTATCACTGTGACGACCTCCTGCCCTCTGCTTGCAACTGACGCCAGATCTCCCACGCCTCATCTAAGCTGACCTTCGTTCACCTCTGCTCTCCCCAATCGAACCCCATGATTTTCCCTAGCCCAACTCTATCCCCAACCTCATATAGCCTAACCCAAATCCCTCTCTTCCGCTAATAGCCAGTCGAATCCACAAAGCTAGCCGATCTCTCCACTCGTAAGCCTGATCCCTAGCTTAAACCGAGCTCCATTGTGCTGATTTGCCTCTACCCAACCCTGTAGTGATGCGAGCAAAAATTTGGGAAAGGCCCAAATTTTTGCAAGCAAAACATATACTTTCTAGGATAAAAGAAATACACCAAATTCTCAAAAATAGACAAATTACATACTAAAAATCAACTTTCATATTATAATAAACTATTACAAACTTGGACACAAACACCTTATAAACTTGGACACAAACACCTTACAAACTTGACATAACATTAAATACCTAAAGTTGCATTTCATCCATTTCTTTGAGAAGAAGGATACATGTGGGGTGGTCACTTGCGGATGGAAGAATGAGGTTAGAAGACTAGACGAAGTAGGAGAGTAACTCGCAAGTTATCCCAAGATAGAGAGGAAGAAGTGGAACAAGCTCTCAAGCTTTTCCAAGAAAAACCTTCAGATTTTCCTTTCAAAAAATTGCATATTTTCCAACCTTTTTTTAATCTCAAAACATCTCTATTATATAGGCAAATGAAAGAAGACAAACAGCCACAGCACCTCCAATCAAATCCAATCAGATTTGGGGAAATGAAAGACCAAAAGACAGCAAACAGCCAGCAGAAATTCTGCACAGAAAAACAGGGAAACAATCCACAGAAAACCCACCATCAGGTCATGGGAAGCTAGCCAGCAAGGGACCTGAAGAACCAGCACAGGAGACAAGGCAGCAGTTCACGGGAAAAGCAGCCTGGAGGGGAAAACCGAGAGGGAGGACCACAGGAACAACAACAGCAACAGCAACAACCATCAGAAAATGAAAAGACAAAGGGAAAGGGCAGCCAAGGTAACAGAGCAAATAACAAAGCAAGGGGAAATGAATCCAGCTTTGGGAACAACACAAATAATAGGAAACCAAAGGGCAAAAGAGAAGGGGGAAGAACCTAATAAATGAGTATTAATGAGCTAGATTTAAGTAGAGAACTAGTAGCTCACCAATTTTACAATCCAAAATGTTTTGACCCCCCCTTGCCTATATCAATTACATACAAGGGGGATCCTACTTGTTCATTTCATCCAAAATCCTGTTCTCGGCGTTTGTGTCGAGCCGACAAACCACCTATACACGTTTTTCTTAGCGTGGTTGTGACAACTTTTAAGTACCTTTATGCGGCTCACCTACGGGGAAACATCTACTTTTCTCTTGTAACATGTACCAAAGACCCATATACGCCTTTCTCTGGCATGGTGGGATTAAAGATTTTACGGTTGCGGTGTCCGAGGACACCTACTATGCACGCTTTTCTCTAGCGTGGCAGGTGGCCCAGTTTCCTGTAGTTTCCCCTAAACGGGGGAGACACCGGGAGGCTACCGAAATTCGGACCGAAGATTCAAGGACTTAAACAATATTCGGATAGCAGGGGACTTGAACTAGACATTAATGAACTAAGTGCAAACTTGAATAAAAGGTTTAATTCAAACTTAAATTAAACTCGATCAAATGATGATGGGCTTGGACTCAAATTGAACTGGGTTTGAACTCAAATCTAATTGAAAAAGAATATGATCTTAGACATTTGAACTCAAGCAAATACTTGAGTTTG